TCCATTTTTGTTCTGCCCCTAAAGGTGGGAGTTGCAGCATGGAGAATAATAACTCAGAGCTACGGTTTCAGCACCACCATGTCTTAGCTTTGGTAAAGAATACATATGCAAATTAGAAAAACTGAAATCTTAGCTGCGGATATCAGACTTCCCAGGAATAACAGAAAAGTTGAACAACCAAGTGTCCTAGAAGAGGGAGGCACGCTGGGTTGGGCTTTCTGGAACATAGAATCTGAAGGGTTTTCAGAACCCAAGGCATCAGTTGGTGGATCTTTTCTTTAGAGCAGGGGTTCCCATCCTACTGAACATCTCAATCACAGGGGAGTGTTTTAAAAAACTGAGGGTTGGGCGCCTGGGTGGCTCAGTTGGTTAGGCGACTGCCTTCAGCTCAGGTCATGATCCTGGAGTTCTGGGGTCGAGTCCCGCATTGGGCTCCCTGCTCCCCGGGGAGTCTGCTTCTCCCTCTGACCCTCCCCCCTCTCATGCTCTCTCTCTCTATCTCATTCTCTTTCTCAAATAAATAAATAAAAAATCTTCAAAAAAACCACAAAAAAACCTGAGGGTTGCTGGATGAGAGGTGGGTGGGGGGAAGGGATAATTGAGTGATGGGCATTAAGGAGGGCACTTGATGTAAGGAGCACTGGGTGTTATATGCAGCTGATGAATCACTAAATTCTACCTCTGAAACTAATGAAAAAAATTATAGATTGAGTGAAAACTAAACAAATGCAAAACCAAAAACCTAAAACAAAATAAAACAATACAAAAAAACCCCAAAACAAAAATATATAGATTGTGGGGGGTGCCTGGCTGGCTCAGTCCATAGAGCATGTGATTCTTGATCCTGGGGTATGAATTTGAGCCCCACATGTGGTGTAGAGTTTACTTAAAAATATAGATAGATGATAGATAGATAGATAGATAGATAGATAGATGATAGGTAGATGGACAGTGAGACCCCATCAGCAAAGGCTTTGGTCTAGTCCATATGCGGGAGTGCCCTGATCACTTTGTTGTTAAAAATCTTCCACATGAATTTTGAATGCCCTGCTCTCTGCATTGCCTGATTTTGCTATTGTTTCATTGTCTGCTTCGTGATCAGCCCACTACCGGTTGGTTCCCTAGCTTCAACTATGTGTGTCTTCTTTATCACAGGGTCAGTGCTTCATCTCCTTCAAGCCTTAGCTCAAATACTACCTTCCCAGTTAAGCCTTTCCTAGTCCTATGATTAAAAACTGTACCCTACCCCTTACACTTTCTAGTCCCCTTTCCTGCCTAATTTTTATCCAACACTTACCCTTTTCTAATATACTCTTTGATTTACCTTATTGTGTTTATTGCCTGTCCCATCCACCAGAATGCAAGATTGAAGGGGCAGAATTTTTGTGTCATTGTCCATACTGTAACCCTGGCACCTAAACCAGAGATGCTTAATAAGTATTTGTTGACTACATGAGTTGAATGTGTAATGAATAGATGTTTTCTGTTTAGTCACTGGCTGACATTATTCTGTCAGAGCCCTACTCACCCATGGGCACACTGTGTGTCTCCTTTTGGATTCAGCTGGCCTGATTGGACCAGCTTTTTGGGATTGAGTGCTTTTTCCTCACCCCTCCAGGTCATTTTTGAATGGGTGCAACCTGGCTGTTCATGTGTCAGGGGTAATCAGCAGTGATTCAGGGATTACACAGTGCAATAGTACTGCCTGGAGCCTCCCCTTCAGCATGAGCTGTGGGTGGGGCAGTTTCTCCAAGAAGCCAATTTTGGTGCAGAGTTAACTGTTCAGCAAATTCCCTAAGCCTGCTGAGCTTCAGTAAAATGGTGCCTTGGTCTGCCTTACCTCAGTGAATTCTTCAGAAGTTCCAGTGAATAATGTGTGGGAAACACATACACATAAAAGGTGTTTTCAACGTTCATTTATTATAAAAAATAAAACAAGATGAGTGTGAAAAGTTATTTAATTTTAGATGACATTTAAATGTGGCTTTTAATAAAAAGCCTGAGGGAAATTATAGGGGAGAAATTAGGAATTTAGGAATTTGCTGCTTAAAGTGCCTTTGGGATTCTTTTGCCCCCACCACTGAAAGTTTTTTTAAACGTTATTCTCCTTTCACTGATTTCTATTTTGGCAGGGGTTCCTGGTACATAACTTCCAAAGTGGTATTTAAGAGGAATAAATGCAAAGATCTGCACTCCGTCTTCAAAAACAAATTGCACAAATGCAGGCTGAAGGAGATATGGTTCTATAGCTGTCGATGTATTAAAGACTTCTAAAAGATTTGGGGGTATTTCCATTTGTATTTAGTTGGCAAAAACATGATATTTAAGAACAGTGTGCGGTAGTAGAAAAATGTTATTGTGATATCAAACTGAATTCTGAATTATCATAAAATTGTAGAAAAGTGTACTTTACTATTCCTCTCTTCATACCTGGATTATTGGACTCAGTTCCAGATGCCACATTTTAAGAGGCAGCAGGGTATGTTTAGATGAGAGTGTATGAATACGAAAGGAGCATGAGAGGGAAGCATGGTGTGGGAAGGCATGTGCTATGGTTGTTGGCTTCAAACATTTAAAAGGCTATATATGGAAGGGGAATGGGACCGTTCTGTACTCAATACATGGTACTAGATTCCAATTCACTGGGCACTTTAATACACATTGTATTCATATTTATAATAATGGTTTAAGGTATTATTGCTTTTCCCTTTTAGAGTTGAACAAACATCCTTGGAGTGGTTTTGTGCTAGTCCAAGTTTATACAGCTAGGAAGTATTATAACTGGGATCTGACTACACCACTTTGGAACTTAAATCCAGTGGTATTTCCTACCAATACCATAACTACCTACAAATTTATAAGGAGACACATTTCAGTTCAATGTAAGGAACTAGAGAGGACTATTCAAAGACTAGAAGGACTGTTCAAAGATGAATACTGTTGTGAGGTAGTGAGTGGTTCCCTATCACTTGGAGTTCAAGCATATGCTGGACAGCTACTTTCCAAGGATCTGGTAGTCCCTCAATTTATACATATACTGTATAAAGAAGGACTTACTTACCTTAATAACAAAATATTAAAAATGAAGGCTAATCATAGAGCCAAAGGAACATAATAAGTGAGGCCTAGTGAACTTAAGTGATTGAGCTATGTTCATTAATTCAGTAGTTATTGGAAAATATGGCATTCCAACTTCATTCTCTGGATTTACAACCTAATTTTTGTTTTTGTTTGTTTTCTGTTACAGCAGTTATCCCTTATCTACTAACTGGGTAATACAGTGTGGAACTAGAGGATATGGAAAGAGGAAAGGCAGAGATGTTTGGGAATTATTGTAATGGATTGTTTTGCATGCTCTTGCTTTATTAAAACAAGCAAAGAATGTGAGTGGTAGTAGGAGAGGGTTTTAAATAAGCAGAGAATGCCACCTAGTAAAGGAAGAACAGAATACTGTGGATTGTACTGTTCTTTCCCTCCTGATGAGTAGATAGATGCTCAACATCTATTTGCTGGAAGGAATGATGTCAACCCTCAACAAATATTTAAAGGGAAACTTCTTAGTGCTGAGCACTTTGCTATGTCTGGGAACCAAAAATGAACTAGACCAAAATATCTATCCTTTTAAGGAACTCAGTCTAGTAACAAAAGACCACCGAGCAAAGCAATGAGAAAAAAGAAAAAAGTACTAAGGATAATCATAGAGAAGAGATAAAAGATTCCATGAAGGCATAAAGGAAGGGTATTTAATTCAGTGTAAGTGCATAGGGTGAGCATGTGGGTGTGGAGGAAAGAGGGGATGTCAGGAAAGATTCCAAAGAGAAAGTGATGCATTTATCATCTTGAAGGAGAGTAGGAGTTCACCTGGTTAAATGAGGAATAGATTTCAGATGGGGGAAAATGTACGGAGATATTGAGACAGCCTTTTGCATCTGTGCGTGAAATGTGGTGGGAGTCAGAGCTGGAGCTGAAGAGGTCTAGGGATCAGGTTATAAATGGCCTTGTACACCGGGTAATTAGCTTGAATCTGATTGTCCTAGGTGGACAGCCTCTGAAGAATTTTAAAGGAGGGAGGCTCTTTGGTTTTGGAGCATTCTCTGACAGTCACGTGGAACAGAAGCAGAAGGGAAATTAGAAAGGCTTGACCTAGAGAGTGGCAAAAAGGTTGAAATAGCGGAGACAGATTATTAGTCACAGGATTAAGAGGAAGAATTCATCCATGGGATTTCAAATCAGAGAACTTTAGTGGGGAGAAATTTGATTGCCTAGTTGTTAGAATGGCAAAATTTTATCAATGGAACTAGGTGATACTGAAGTGAGCGGCACAGTGGGTAATACGGAAAGCCTGGGATTGGGACCATATGGTTGTCCTGAGCTTGTGTGTATTAGCTGATGACTCTTTAGAACTGAATTCAGGAAATGACATAAAAATGATTTGCGCAATAAAATTAGAAGAAGGAAGACTGTGAAGTCGGTACATTTGTAGAAAAATAACTAGGGTTGGTGAAGATGGGGAAGTAGCCATTACCAAAGGGCCATTTGTGAATAAATTTTGGTCTGTCCAATGGAAAGATCCCCGAAGAAAACCAAATGCCCTGAATCCAGCCTTTCCTCACTACGACCCATTCCCTAGTAGCTGCCTTCAATCTTCAGACTGTGGGGGTCAGAATTTTGGAAAATCTTGAAGGCCATGAACTCAAACCTACGTATTTCAGGATGAGGACAGAGAAAACAAACGACTTGCAAGACGTGAAGTAGCGGGGTCTTTCCGTAAGCCCGGGCTTCCTGACTTCAGGTCCGGTGCTCCTTTCATTACCCACACCGCTGCGGGCTGGGAAGCGCGGAGCCCCCCGCGTGCCGAGGTTCGCACGGTCTGCCAGGGGTGAGTCGAAGGCCCCTTCCTCGCCCCGCCCCCACCGCAGCCCCTGTGGAACTCCTCGGTCCGCCCCCTTCCCGCGCCGGGCGGGGTCGCTGCGCCGCCTCTACTCGCGCGCGCGCGGGGTCGCGCGGACGCGGGGAGGGCCGCGGGTGCGGGGAGGTCGCCGGGCCGCCCGCGCCGCCGCCCCTTGCCTGACGCACGGAGGGGCCGGGACGCGATTTGCCGCGAGGGGCTGGAGTAGCGGCCGCCGCCGCCGTCCAGGCCCGCTCCGCCCCCAGCCCGCCTTCCTCCCGCCTCGCCCTCCGCCTCCGTCCGCGCCTCGCTCGCGTCCCCGCGTCCTCCCCACCAACCCCGGAGGTGTCGGCCGCCCGCACCAGCGCCAGCCAGGTGAGTGTGGCCGCCGCGCGGCCCAGGAGGCCCGGGCGGGAGGAGCGCGCAGGCCCCGCGGCCGGGTGGCGAGGGCGGGCGGGTGGAGGCGGCGGAGGCGGCGGCGGCGGGCCCGGCTTTCTTCCTGGGCGCGGGCCGCGGGGCTGTGGAGCCGCACGGCTGAGGGAGGGGCGCCCGCGCCCCGCTGCCGCCGCCACCGCAGACAAAGCGCCTGAGGTGGGAGCCCCGCGGGTGGCCTCTGCCTCCGCGCTGCCTGCCGGGTGCGGCCGCGGCCCGCAGAGCCCGGGCTGCTCTGGTTTTTAGCCCTGAGCGCCCTTGTTCATTTCTGGGTGAAAGGGACCCGCATAATGCAACAGGTTTGGGCGTTAATCCTTATTTTCCAGCGGGTCTCGTCCTCCGGGCGTGCGGGCACCACATGCGGCGGCGCCCGGCCCCCGGGCGAGCCCAGCGTCCAGCTCCGGCGGCGGGCTTCTTTGTGTGGCCGGTGACCAGCCTTGCCCGGTGGGTGGGGGACTCCCGTCTGAGGCCCCCGGGCTGCGGGGAGGCTCCTCGCTGCCTCCTTCGCGACTTGGGGCTTGGCTTTCCCCCGGGCCTGCAGGATGTTAACATCCCTCCAGCCTTTGGAGGATTCACAAAGGGAAGGAAGAGAGGGTTGGCAAGGATTTGTGGTTATGTATTTATTTTTTATATGTTAGGTAGACCGATAGTAGGAAAGAGCCGCATGAAGGTGCGGGTGGGATTTCACGCTGGGATGCACGGTTTGGACTTGATGCTGCTCTGACAGCAAGTGCTTTTCTTGGTGCTTTGACATCTTTCATACACAGATATCAGCCCATAAGTTGGAAGTGCTGTTGAGGGAGTAACTCTGTAGCAGCTGTTTGGCAGGTCACCTCTTTCTGCACATTTTGTCCGTGCCAAATACACCCGCTACACATCCTGGCAAAGGTTGGCAAACTCAAAATTGCCACTCAAAATACCCCCATTTTGGAAAATATTAATCCATATGGTTTTCTTTGGCTTGATTTTGGCTTATTTTCTTAGGTGTGAAAAACTTTTTTCTCCCCCCCCCGCCCCCGCAAGGAAAAATACATAACAAAGAACAATTTATTTTTGTTCACATACCTTGGTCATGCTGTTACCTAGTTGGTGTCATTGGTATGCTATTTTAGTATAACAATACTAAATGGAAGGAAAATATCTTTTGCTTTGAGCAATAAAATGCTTCTTTGTTCTAGAACCAGGAAGCTTTTATACATAATAATTTCTGTGGACAAAAGTTGGTGACTGTCTTTACCCCATGACCCAATACATGAAAAAATTCCCAAATGACTTAGAAAGCATTACACAACTCTATAGATTTGTTTTTCTATCCCAAACTTGAGGAAATCATTTTGCTATGTATTTAATCAAGTAATCTAGACTAAATTTAATCTTAAAATTTGGGCCTTACTCTATAAATTCCCCAACATTAGGGAATGAATTGATTACTTTTAGAGTTTGTTGAGCATTGTAAGCCCTGAAAATAATAATAGGAAAGAGTAGTGGAGATAGGAGCTGGTGGTGGATTTAGCAAAGTGACCGCAGATTGGAACGTGGAATGTGGTAGAGGTTGCAAAGTTCCACCTACTTGGGTTTTAGTTGATCAGTGGGTAAGGCCATATCTGAAAAGTAGATGTCCACTAATTAAAAAAGCAGAAAAGAGTGTTACATTCTGGCCTTTTTTTTTTTTTTTCCCTCGGTGTACTCTGTAAAGACTCCTTGAAGCTCTTTCTAGTGCTTAAAAACAAACTTGCTATTAATAGGGACTTTTCTTTTGAAGAAATAAAATTATACCAAATTAATCTGATCCATAGAAAGTTTCTCTAACATAATTAGTAGTTTTACTTTACCTAAAATACCATTCATCCTGGTAACATCTAACTTCAAAGAGCTTTTATAGCTGTTACAGACTATAGGAACAACCTCTTGAGAAAAGTAGCATTTTGACTAATGAAAAGGAGCAGAAACTTACATTTCTATAATAATTTTTTTATTGAGGTATAATTCATAAACTGTAGAATTCACTCTTATAACATGTACAATTCAGTGGTTTTAGTATATTTACAGGGTAGTGCAAACATCACCAGTTCAAGAACATTTGCATCATGCTGAAAAGAAACCCTGATACCCATTTACTTGTCACTCTCATTCCTCCTCCCCTGCACTTGGCAACCATTGATATAATTTCTGTCTAGAGATTTGCCTGTTCTGGACATTTCATATAAATGGAATCATACAAATATGTGGCCCTTTGTGTCTTACTTAGCATAGTAGTTTTAGGGTTCATCCATATTATGCATGTATCACTACTTCATTCCTTTTTATGGCTGAATAATCTTTCTTATATTGATATGCCACATTTTGATTATCCTTTCATCAGTTGATGGACATTTGGGTTCTTTCCACTTTCTGGCTATTATGAGTAATGCTGCTATGAACACTTATTTACAAGTTTTTGTGTGGACATATGTTTTCAATTCTCTTGGGTGTATACTTAGGTGTGGTATTGCTGGGTCATATGATAACTCTGTTTAACTTCTTGAGGAATTGCCAAACTATTTTCCATAGCTGCTGTAGCATTTTACATTTCTACTAGCAAAGTATGAGGGTTCCATTTTCTCCAGTACTTGTTAATGTTGTCTTTTTGATGATAGGCATCCTGGTGGGTGTGAAGTGGTATCTCATTGTGGTTTTCATTTGCATTTCCCCAATGTCTAATGATGTTGAGTATGTTTTCATGTTCTTATTGGTCATTTGTTTATCTTCTTCAGAAAAATGTCTAATTTATAATAGTTTCTAACTTTATGTTTTCACATGTATTTTCTCATTTTGTCTTTGAAATAATTCTATAAGTTAGGTTTATCCCTATTTTACTGCTGGGAAGCTACGGTGCAAAGAGGTTAAATAATTTGCTTGTTTTTTAACCTTACAGAGTTAGTAGGGTTTGAATATAAACTCAGGTCTTCTAACTCTGCTTCCTGCATTCTTTTCACCTCAAAAGGCATAAAGAAGTTAAATTGTGTTTGCAAATTTACTTGGCTAATTATTGACAAAGTGGGGGAAAACAAATAAAAAGCAGACTAAACAACGAAAAGCAGGTGGCCATACTGCCTCATATTCACCAGATTTTGTTATTCTTTTTAAAATAAATTCTTTGTTTTCTCCTATCCTAATAAGGTAGATATGCTTTTCATATTTCCTCTAGGGAAGTAGTCAGAACGATTAAACCTAGTAACATACCTTCTTGGTGGCATAGCTAGCTAATCCTAGAACCCACTCTTCACTGAGACATTGTGTTTTATATTACCCTGCAGCTTCCATGTTCTTTATTTTCCCACTAATTTATTCCCTTTATCTTAAAATAATTGAATAATTTCACATTTTTCATAAACATTAAAATTCTGAATGAAACTGAAATTAACTTTTGAGTAGGGCAGTTTGCCAGTTTTCATTTTGAAGTGCAGGATTACTAAGGTACATATTTCAGTTTTTATGTGGAACTCTGTATCAGACATAGGTATGCAAAATTATCAGCTCCTTAGAGGGTAGGTAGAGGCCATATGTTAGTTACTCATCTTTGCATGTCCATTGTCCAACATAGTGCCCAGCACGATGAATACAAATGAATTTTTTTAACACCCCCCCAAAAAACCAGTAAAAATTATCTGTTACTCTTTTTTAGAAGAAAGGCAGTACAAATTCCAGAAAAAGAGTATTTCTTACCCTGACACATGACCTAAGAAAAAAAATAAATGATAAAAATTGGAACTTAATTTAAAATTCAACACTCTATCTTATGTAAGGAAGTAACTGTTTTTCCATCCTGTGTTTTAAAAAAATAGGCTGTAGACAGGGCGCCTCGGTGGCGCAGTTGGTTAAGAGTCCAACTCTTGGTTTTGGCTCAGGTCGTGATCCTCAGGGTCGTGAGATGCAGCCCTGCGTTGGGCTCCATGCTCAGCTGCTTAAGACTCTCTAACCCTCGCCTGTCCCCCTGCGCACACACGCTCTCTCTGTCTCTCTCTCAAATAAATAAATCTTTGAAAAAAAATAGGCTCTAGGGATGCCTGGCTGGCTCTGTGGGTAGAGCATGTGACTCTTGATCTCGGGGTCGTGAATTCAAGCCCCTTGTTGGGGGTAGAGTTTACTTAAAAAAATAAAAGTACCTTGTGGCTGGCACAAGTGCTTATTAGCTCAGTGCCCATACTTAGGAGCTACACCCTGAATGTTTGTTAAATAAATGAATGTCCAATGAGTGAATAAAAGGATTAGTTTTCATTGTAACAAATAGTGGAGATAACAGCAAATGAGTATTTAGGCTGTGCTTTTCATTTGTATATTTTAATAGCAAACATGATACATATTCATTATAAAAATTCAAATAATATGTGGGTATATTCAGTACAAGCTGAAAATCTCCCTTTACTTCTTGTCCCCTTCCCTTCCTTTACCCCCAAGATCATTCCTGTCCCAGGTAACCATTATTAAGTTTAGGGTTTATATTTCCATCTGTATCTTTGATTTATGTGTACATATGTATAAATATGCATTTACATATCCGACCATACTTATATACATACATTCACAATGGTTTTTCCTTTACAGATGGGATCATACTACACATTTCCTTTGTTTTTAACTTAAATGTATTAAGACTTTAGCATTTATAGTCACAAATGATAAATGTAATATTTATTATTGTTGCCTGGTTTTGGTGTCAGGATTAAGCCAGCCTCTAAGAATGAACTGGGAAATACTCCTTTTTTCCCCCCTGTGTTCTAGAATAGTGTAAAAATGTCTGCCCTATAAGCATTTATTAGAAATTCCTGATAACCTTGGGGGAGGGATGAGATCTGAGGCAACCTTTCAAATTTTTCCTTTTTTTATTTATTCTATCAAGTTTTGGTTCTTATTTTCTATTACATTTTTGGTGAAAGAATCCTTCCACACACACAAACACACAC